TCTAAGTTTGGTAGATTTGACCAAATAGTGTATCTACGAGATGACACAGTTAGAAATCACCTATGTGAGTGTGAAGTGGAAGCCTCTTCAAAGAGAATTTTATGTCAAAAGCCTATTCTCTATACACTCATGAAACCAGGAGGTATTCATGGCTGAAACGAACACAACCGTAAGAATCATAAACATAAATGGTTAATTGTGTGACATATGGTTGTCTAGGTATACACCAAAGCTCGACGGTTCAAAGATATCACATCTACCGATTGACCGAGTATATCCGACATATGTTCACCACGGAAAGTCCAAGGGGAAACCTACTTATCCAGATGCAATTAATCCTTGCTTGTAAAGTACACAATTATCCGTGCATTCCTATGTTATAACCATTCCTCATCAATGTGGGGGATTGTTGGGTATGTAGCAAGAATTGATGGAAAATAGAGGGAAGGAGGGGATTTAAAAAGTTGAGAACTTGAATAGTTGGGAACTTGAAAAGTCCTTTTATGTTTTAATGGAAAAAGGCAATAGTCCCTTATCGGTAATGGAAAGGAAAATAGGAGAGTTTAAATACATAAACACTCCTATTAATTGTTAAAAGGGTTAGAAAGAGGGACTTTCCTCGCGCCGTCGTCGTCGTCGTTCGCTCGCTTCGGCTTTGACTTCGGCTTCGGCAAATGATCGATATTTTTTGGACAAAATTTATTTTATTTCTTTATTTAATTAATTAAATGGCCAAAAAATATTTTCAATTAAAATTAGTTGATAACAGAAGTTAAAAAACCCGAAATGTTTTCAACTTTTTAGTTAACCTGACCTGACTCGAATCCACGCGTGTGACCCGTTTTAATTTCCGTTATATTTAAAATTTCCGCCATGACTATTCTGAAAGGTTGCAACTTTCAGGAACAGTCAATACCATTTGAAAGTTTGCAACATTTCATAAATGGTCGTGTCAATTCTGAATATTTTCTTCTTGCCTATAAATACCAGTCAGTCTTCAGAATATTTTCCAACGAATTTTCTGATCTTCCTTCTTCTTCAAAAACACATTTTTCTTTGTGTACTTTACTGCTGTGGATTGATTCGCTGACAGTAGAGTTTTTGGTATCTACACTCTACTGATTAAGATCATTTTATCCTGGGAGGTTATATTCCAAATCAAACCTCGGATACTAGAGGGGAATAATTTCTTTAAGGGGACACTGTGAGTTCAGTGGACTTGATCTTCTTCCAAACTAAAACATTATTTCAGTTTCTGGTACGTTTGTTTTAAGTATTTTCTGAAATAAAATTTCTGTTCATCTTGCTTACTGATTCGATAAATTTCAGTTACTTTGTGTTTATGAATAATTTATTACAATCAGTAATTTCTGATTTTTGATAACACATATTGGCTAACAGGTATTACATCAAATATGGTGGCTGAAGCAATAAGAATTCTCAAAGCAATGCTTTTTTGCAGACAAAGAAAGATGAAAAACTGTATTTTAGAGACTAATTCACTAAGTCTAACTGAAGGAAATTTGGGACTACCCCTGTATCTTAGAGATGCTAGAGGAGGTCATGCAATAAAACACACATATTCCCAGAGAAGCTGAAGCTATGGAAGATTTACATGCTAATATAGCACTCACACAACATGAAGCAGTTCAATGCAAATAGTAACTTTGTAATATGTTAGTTAGCGAGGAAGTAGCACAAATTTGAAAAGTTCATCATAAAAATTATATGCCCTTTGTTTATTTTTACTTGTGATGATTTGACTTAGTAAACCTATTAAGAAAATAACTATTTTACTAGTACATTTAAATAAAGAGACACAGAGCATTATCATCAAATATGTTTAATTAATTCGTTACTCAGAGACACATTTTATGGTTCAAACATTGATTTTTCGTGATCCTAATTTTTTTCTGAAAAAACTTTATGAGGACCTCCACAGTGAGTTAGAGAACCACCAAGTATGCTCAACCATTTTCTTAACGCCTATTTATGCATTTACAAATCTTTTTTTTCAGAATTACAATTTTTTTTATTTTTCATTTGTAATATTAGTCCATGGGTCTGGCTCCTTGAAGCACCCAATTTTTTTTGAAAAATCTTTATGAGAACTTTTGTAATGAGTTAGTAAACTATCACGTACACTCATATCATTTTAACACCTATTTTCTCATTTACAGTTTTTTTAGGAATTACACATATTTCTCTATTTTCCGTTTGTAATGCACGAATATTTTGGTGATATCGCTTCCTTTTTTAAAAAAAAAACTTATATGAAACCCTTCGTAGAGAGTTGATGGAGCAGTAAGCACAATCTCACCTCTTTTCATGGCATTTTTGGGCATATAGTGGCAAACTTATAGGAGCTATACAATTTTCTCGCGTGTGTTAGTTCTTAAATATTTTGATAGTATGAATTCCAATCAATTTCTTTTGCAAAATCTTTCTGAAACCCTTCGTGAGTTGGGAGAGCAGTATGTGTCACCTCGCCAATTTTCATGTTTTTTTTTGGGCATTTCAAAGGCTTTCTTCTTTCTCTTTGTAATCCTCAATATTGTTGTCGATTACGTTAAACATTGAAAAAGAACTCATCACCAAATTAAATTATTGCATCTTAATCAATTTTAATAGGAAAAGAGCAACACTTATTAATATTATTGCATCTTAATCAATTTTGATAGAAAAAGAGCAGCACTTTTTTTCTCAAAACATGTCAACGTACTTATTTTCTTTTCTATTCTAACATTTCATTCTATTCCTATAACATCTTGTTTTATTTAATTCTAATATTTGAAAAATACTTGTCATTACACTTGATGCTCAAAGCTACTTAAGTTCAACTAATCATAACAATCTTCAATTATATTGTAGCGTGTTCTTTTACTACTTGAATAATAACTGTAAGATAAAACTAGGATTAGAATATCATGTTTGGTTGCATTTTAATTGCCATGTATAAAATTTTACACACAAAAGATATTTATTCCTCATTTTACATCTTCACATAGTCAGCATACGTAAAAGTTACGAATAAATTGTGTATTATTTAATATAGGTTAAAATAATTTAGTAGATGAATAACAAAGTTCCGCATAACTAATTTTTGCATTACTTCTACTAATCCGTGATCAAACAACCCCTTAGAACACAAGAGAACCATTGTATCAAAACCTCAAGTTATACTTGGCTTAAAATTGTTTTTAAAATGCAAAAGTAAAACAAAAGGCATGGATGGTCGCATAACAGCTTAAAAGATCTCCACTGTAAAAAGTTAGTTAGGGGAAGAGCATTTTAATTAAGTTACTAGCAACCAATGGAGGCTTTTGGTAACTAGGACTTGGCTTTGTAAACATCCCCTTTTTCATATGAAGTATACAATGTTACTTCTAACTACAGCATGAGCCAAATAATAGCAATTATTATACTTGGCTGCATACAAGCCAATATAAAGAATCTGAAATGTAGTACGACGTAATGCAAGAAGAGTTCTTCTACATGATAAAACAGCAGCGAAAAAACTTAAGAGTTATGTTCAGTTTTAACTAAATTATATAGGATTTCCAAGGAGATTTCAAGAGTTCTCATATGAAGGCAAAGGATTTCCCTCCTCCCATTCTTCACTGGGTGGACAGTGAAACCCAGCTGCAGCATGCTTTTCCACTAAAATCACATTTGTTCATGCAAGGATGTTACCGTCTTTCGTTCCTTTTATCACACAGACCTAGTTCTCGGAAGCCTTCAGGTAAGAATTAGAAATAACTAACCCAGCTCATTAGCTACGAGGTTATGTGTTGTGCTAGAAGTGATAGAGAAAAGTAACATTTCTCACCTCTTGGTATGTTATTTGCTGCTGCTATCCTTTTCAGAATTATCGGTACTATGAGCAGCAACATTTTTGGATTGAATACATGGGGAAAGTGGTGGGAAAGAAGGAACAGCTCGCAATATGAATTTCCGGCCGGTTTTTAAGCCTCCTCCAGATGAACTAGAACCAATCTCATTCAAATGACGATAAGGTGGAGAAACACGCTTCTTATTCGGGGAGTTCACTTTAACACCAATTTGTGGTATAGAAGAGTCCTTTAGTATTTCAGGTGTGTCATCTTCCAATACATATGGCTTCTTATCAGAGTCTAGTAGTTCCAGAGCGTTCATTCCACTCCCATCAAACTGGGTCATATGGGTCATCGGTGAGTTACGCCAGCTTAGCGGATCCGTGGACTGGAAATGGACAGTTTGAGGAATCAGTTGACCACCTGAATTACTTGCCCAATCCTGTGACTTTGGCAGCGCCAAAATATCATCCATGTTGCCAGTCACATTAAACCCTGGTGAAATTTCATTTGCTAACTTTGCATTGCCATAACTTAACTCATGATCAAAGGTAACAAGATCCAGCATATCACCAATAGTTTCCTGATGTGTGTCATGATTATTAGAACTTCTAGGAGATCCTGGGGAGAGTCCATATGGTGCTGTATCAGCTTGGCCAGATTCAGGTGAAGATAGGTATCTTCCAGAAGTGAACCAAGATTTTGATGCATCCACATTGCTAGAGTTGCACAGAGGTATCAACAGTAAGAGGGAAAATAAGAAAATCAATTTTTCGGGAGTAGAAATGAGAAACCATATGAAGTACTCATGATAGGAGTTGATGGAACAACAGAAGTCACAAGGATCTTACTTTGAGCGCCGGAATGAAGGTGTCAAGGGAGTTGAGTTGCATTGATTTATTGGACCACTTTGCAATAACCCACTTGTAGCTGTCACCATCTCTACCTCTTCCTCAACTGATCTCTCCAAACTTTCAGTGATGCAGTGTTTATTCACCAAATCTATACCATATTCTAAACACGAAAGGACAAAAAAAAAGAGAAACAAAATCATTAGAGAACAGAAAAAAAAGTGAAACAGCATAATGGTCAAGAAAAGAAAATATAAGGCAGCTCAAGATATAACACTTGATCCGATCAAGTTGATCATATAACAGTGATATGAAACATTGTCACCATGTAGGCTGATGCAGTACAAACACTATGTTCCAGAAGTAAAAAAATTGGTTTCTCTTGTTTATAGTCTGAAAAAGGAAAATGTTCGCCCGACACTTTTGAATGCTTAACTATTCATTTTTGGGTAATAAAGCAAAGAAAATTCCCAAAGAACTCTACAGTAGCACAGCAAGGTAGCCCCTCAACCTTGAGAATAAAGGAATATAAAGCAAATAGTACATGAATGGCTATAATTAATTAGATTGTATGAAAGCAAGAATGCTTTTTCTACAAGGACAGCTCTAAAACATGATTATGGTTCAGTATGTCCATACATAGCCAGAAACAATAGAAGAGAAATATAGAGAGTTGAAGACATAATCCAGAAAATAATAGCTTAAGCTTTTAGATGAGATGGTCACAACTTCATCATAGTATCAAAGTAGACAGGTCCTTGTTTGAATTTCACGGTCTCACCGCCACCTATTATCAAAGAGAACTTCCACAAGCTTGACCCATGAAAATGATTCAGGGCAGCACATGAGATGGCGTGCTGAATGAAGAAAATAAAGTTGTGTTCTCTCTAACAACTTAAACGTTCAGATGAGATAGTCACACAACTTAACATAGAGTAATAAACATTCTCTTGTTTAGTTTGAGACTTTGAGTAGATTGAAAAGCTACTATCTATCCTTGTAGAGGTACAGTGGGAATACTCAGATGCATACAAAGTCATTTCATGTACTTAATGGGAAACCCTTCACCGCAATGAATGCAAAGAACCATCAACAAAAGCATCAATGGCGAAAATCAAAAGCATAGGCAAAATAACATTCTGCTAAAGATCCTAGGCAGTTCTTTTCTAGCAAAAAAGACATTATAGCTCCAAAGTTGACAGGAAATTTCTAATACCTTCCTTCGGACCAAAGACATTTTTACACCCTTCGCAGCGGCATCCGCTGGAACATCCAACATTAGCCTATTAAGACAGAAGAAATAGGACTTAGTCAGATAATTGAGAAAAATCAGAGAGTATTAACAACGCATGGTATCTGAGAGAAATGTACCTGATAGCACTCACAGTACTTTTTCAAACACATTGACTTCTTGCAGTTGCACCCTCTTTTGTGCCTTGCAGAGGAAGGCGTAAAACTTGCTACACCCTCCTGTAACATTGCAAGTGGCTATGTCAATTATCAGGAGATTGAGCTTCCTAATTAAAAGAAACTCTCAGAAGAGTGGAATACCCCAAGAATATTTGCAGGGGAATTAGTGGAATGCTGCACAATTTTTGGAGCAAATGCGAGGGGATTCCGAGACTGGATTTGCTGCCGCACATCAAGAACAGTGTCTTCATATTCTGGTCTGTTGAAGCAGCCTTGGCATGTGCAAGAGTCCACACAATATACTCCAGCAGCAAAGCAATCACAATAACTGAATATAAACAAAAAAAATCAGTAGATATGTAACATGTTGAAGATCAGTGACACAAATATTTTAAACTTACAGTTTCAAGCACTTAGTCTTCTTACAATTGCAGCGTTTGCACCCATCACCATCATTTCCATCTGAGATTTTCTTCCTGAATTACACAAACATGCAATTCTGTTATAAGTATGCAGAAAATTTAAGCTATCCAGTTCCTAGAGATAACAAACACACTTGCCTTTTCTTTTGGGGGCTTGACTGATTGTAATCCATATTGCTGTCGATGTGTTCAGAGTTAAGTTTCCTTTTGTTACTTGGAGTATGCTCTGTTGGCTTCAAGAGCACCGTGTCATTTAAAAGTTTTGCATTATTATGTGACAAAGAAGCTGCAGCACTTTCTGCATCTGACCTATAACTTTCATGTATACCGTCATTGTCACTTGTCAAGTTGCTCCCAACCACATTCGCAGATATCAAGCAATTCTTCAAGTTCTTAGAAGGGTGACAGCTCATCATGGAGGTCAACTTCTTTCCCCGAATGCTCAAGTTTCCCCTCTGAGTTGATTTCACACTTACAGTTACACCAGAACCAGCTTCCATACCATTAACTATACTATTTAAGTGCAAACCAATACCAGATGGCTTGGAGACTTTCACATTTAGGCTTTCAGAATTAACAGAGGAAGATACCAGTTGGGTCAATCGCCTATTGCTTGTAGTTGATGATCTATTTGATGAAACTGGTTCTACAACCTCTATGACGGCAGGACTGACTGGTTGTATTGAACAGCTCACAATACCTGAAGCATTCTGTGAACTTGAGCTAGCTGGTGCCATCTTCTGTTGAGCATCTTCAAATTGGAGACAGCGCCTACTTATTCCGCTTTGATGTTGACTAGCCTACATTTTTTTGAAAAATCAAAGCCAGAACTATATGTTCATTTGTCATAATAAAATGTAATAGAGTAATCTTGATTGTTAAGTTCCTTATTCTACTTTTTCCAAAAGCAACAGTGATTTTGTGTGGGAAAAAGTAATTGTTTCCTCCATCCAAGATCAGGTTTTGAGTTAGAGGGCAAGGTGTTATGACATGAAGCTTTACATCATTTAAATGGAAGTGTATTCAAGTAGAGACAATAAGCCACTAGGGATTAGGTTCAGAACTGAAGCTTAGTATTTACATGGGAGCAAGGAAAACGACGGGGCCATACCTTCTCAAGTTTAACATGTGGACCAACTGAAGTTGGGCAAGCTAACTCGTGAGGGATTTCTCGATTATCAAAAACATATATGAACTTCTCGTGATTTTGAACTTCAATTCATTAGTATAAAAGGCATGTCTTATTTCATCTTCTGAAACAACGATAATAAGCTTATTGATGTTGAAGTGAGTTGTAGTAAAATATACTGAAATGCAAAGCTAAAATAAACTGAACATAAATTAAAAGGACAAGTTATGCACTGAGGATTTTGGTATGAGCATGAACATTAAAAAGTTAAGCCAGCATGTTGACAGAACATAAAAACATTGCGAGCTGCAAGAGGAAGTATATCACTCATTTTCCTATATCTCACTAAATTTTCATAATTACCAATGTTGGTTCAGTTTTGGGCTATAGCATCAAGATATGAATATCTCATACCTTGGTTTGAGAATCATGCTGCAGAATGCCATCATCAGGTACAATTGACATTGTGCTAATCTTATCATTATCATCTCTGCAATCACCTGCAGTCTCCAGAGATTTGATCGGTATATTAGAAGCCTCGTCCAACACAGTGTGGCCAGCCCTTGAAAGCTGCAAAATTTAAATGACATAGATAAAGTTCATAGAACATGAGTTCCTACCAAAATCAAATAGAAAGGGCTGGTATTTACCTGAGCCATTTGTCGGTCACCATAATGATTATGCAACGAACTATGAGCATCCAAGCCAGGAACAATCTTTGCGCATAAACCAAGAGATGGCAGGTCAGGATTGGAGGTACTGTAAACCCCGGTATATTTCTGATTGGATGGGGACTTTCCCTTATTGTCCTCTTCAGCTTGCTCTACAACAACACGGGCTGCATCTTCTGGAATCTCGTCTTTTCTTTCATCTTTACTTGGAATGCTAACGACAGGTACCTTTGAATCTTCTGCACTATCAGGAGGTTGAGGAATGCTATCAGCCACTTTTGGGCTCTTATTATTTGAATTTGAAGAATCGCCAGACTCTGAGTTTGAAACATCAACTAAGAATTCATCCACACAGCTTATGGGAGTTCCACTTTGCTCATGCACAGAGATGTTATTATCAGATACTTTCTGAACAAAAGGGCTTAGTCCACTTCCCAATGGAGAAATAAATACTCCAGTGCCATCTGAATCTGTGATAGCAGTGTTATAATCCTCATTCTTCCCAGAAAACACTTCAGTGGATAATTTAGGAAACTGGCTCCTGAGATATGTTTTAAGGTTCTGAAATTGTTAGTTTTTGCCTGATGGATATTTTATCAACATTATAAATACAAAGACTCTAAAAGATAAACTTTATAACACCTTTTCAAAAGGCTCGATCGACTGTGTGTATTAATTCGGGGTGAGGTAAGCAGAAGAGGAGGAGAATTCAGCCCTGAGAAATCTTGCACAATTGGAGCGCCCTTGACAGGCTGTATGGGAGAGAGGTTGCTAATATAATTGAAGACGGGTGAATCCTGAGACCAAAATAAAAAAGTAAGAGAAATACATCGAATGAGGAAACAACGCATTCCTTAGAGCAATCAACATACACCCTTAATCTAGAAACTGGTTAAGTTGACAATAATTCAGGGTTCAATGCAGAGAGCTTCAATAAATTGCAAATTAACTCGAAGCAACATTTGAGTGGTTCCGACAAGGATATGAAAAAATACTCTCTGTTTCAATTTGTTTGGCTTGATTCGGCGTATGAAGGTCAAACTAACTACTGTTTTGCAAATCTTTAATCTTTTTTTCAAACGAAACTTTACATATTTAGAAACTACTTAAAAAGTACTTACTATAAGTCACAATTGTTAACAATACCAAATATTTAGAATCCTATTGAACAAGATAATCCGAAAACTCGGAGAATGGTCTTTGATCCAAACTTAAGAATCAATTAAATCCAATAGCCAGATTACACACTCTAGCATATACAATCTTTGATTCCTCCTACAAGACCTAGAACTCAAATATTCTTCATCCTACTTCAGTCCCGAAAATTGGTCAATTGAAAACACTTAACATCCTACTTCAAACTCACAAAATCTCATTAAACCAAATCATCGGAAACTAAATGAGTTACCTAAGAATTAATTCAACAAATTTAACCAGAATACCTCAACCCTATTGAAACTCACTTGCAATCTCAACCCAAAACAAAATCCTAAAATCCAAACTATTCTAATACCAAAAGAATCTCAACAAAATATATATATAAAAAAAAAAAAAGAACTCAACCCAATTCCACCTTCACGAAGACCTACTACACCAAGCAATCAGAAAACAAAACAAAATCAAACAAAAGATCCAATAACTACCCATTAAATCAAATCAAAATTTGACAATAAATGTAAAATGCATATGTGAATTTTACTTGGGCAGGTCCAGGGTCTGAAGACAAAGTAGTATTGATGGTAGCGTTGATTTTTGATGAAGGTTCAGGGGAATCCATTTTGAACTAGTGTAACCCTAGTTCTCAAGTAACAACAGAAGTAATTATGCTCTTTCTGCATTTCTCTTTCTCTTTGATCTCCTGAAAACTTTGGTAACTCACAATTTTGAGCATAAAAACGATGACGATGATAAACAATCTCTGAGAGATTTACGGAGAAAATACCAACAAAATAGTAAAAGGTGGCTTGGGCGGGAAAGCCATTTTTAGGGTGAAAACAAAAAATATTGCAAGGCTGGTTTGCTAAAGCCCAACGCCAACTTCGGCCCTTCATTACCACTACTACTAGTTTTGCCTATGATTAAGAAAAACTATCAAATCTTTGTCACGTGGTTTTAGACTGATTAATTACTGTAGATTAATATTTTGATGGTTTTTATATTTGCAAAATATAAACTGTATTTTATTTTGAATTTTTGTGGATGTATTATATTTGTGTGCGAGAATAAATGTATTTCTGTAAACTTAACTGACGATGATATAATATTTTCTTTTTCGTATTTGAAATTGCTATGACTTAATATGAATGGCGCTTTTAAGAAGATTTTGTATGAAAATGAAACATATTTTTCGGTAGTGAAAAATTATAACACACTTGTAAAAGCATGAATTATCCATTGAAATCGTAGATAATAAAATCGTCATGTTGAATCGTCAATTAAAATTGAATTCGATATGTTTGTTGAATGCTCCATTGGAAATTTTGTGGAATATAGAGAAAGAAAAATCTTCCTTCAGTTCCGTTTTAGCGCATATGAAGCTTTTGTCTCTGGTTGATACAAAATTTTGAAGCAGATAAAGATTTTGTCTTTTCATTGATACTATAATTTGAAGCACGTATACAATCTTTGTCCACCATCAAATTATCTCTTTCAGAATTTAGAATATTTAAATCACAATATCTCATCATTTTGAAAACAACAAAAATAGTTAAGTACAACAATTTTTATTCTACATTTGAGCAATAGAATGTGACATTATTATATCATTACTCTTAGATGGTATCGTGATAAAAAAAAAACATGGTTCGTACGTAGACCTTGGTGCTTTAAATTTGAAGTAGCCTCATAAAACAATACAAATCAACTATATTGTCGAATGGAGTTGTACGTCTATGAATAATTAAATACAGATTGGTGTGGGAGTGTATATGGAGTTGGAAAAAATATATTGAAATTTCAGGTTATATTAATGGTGTATATAACCACAATAAACCATCGATTGGAGTACACCTCATCGAGAGAAAGTGTAATGCAATGATACAAAAAAAAATTGAAATATATGATGTATACAAATACAGTTGACAATAGGGCTGTTCAAAACCGAACTGAAATCGATAAGTCAAATCGATAAAAAAGTTATTGGTTTATAGTATTGGGTTATTAGTTTAGTGGTTTTGATAACAGTTTTGATCTTTTTTGTTATTGATTATCGGTTCTTAACGATTTAAAAAAAAAAATTAACGGGCTAACCGATAACCCGATAGTAAATTAAATAATTATATTTATACCATTTTGTATATAAAGTCCTCGACTTAGAGTTTGATTTCCTACGTTTATTTTTTGTTGTCTCAAACATTCGATTATTCTACAATGTAAAAGTGTTTGCTTTTGAGCAAGATGTAACTTGTGAACTCAAGTGCATTGTTTATTTGGTTTGTCACCTTGTTTCTATGTGATTTTCAATGTTTTTTCTTTTATGTCAAATCTTAACGGTTAAACCGATAACCGAACCGATAACAATCAAAAACCGATAAACCAATAACCGATAAGCTAATATCTTAATGGTTCTATAATACCATCTCTACAAACCGATAACCAATAAGCCAACTCGATAAACTTCAAAACCGAACTGAACCGGCTGATACACAGCCCTAGTTGACAATTGTCATAAACTTTTACTAAAAGAATAAATATTTTTTAAAAAAAAATTAATAATCATCACACTATACTAAAAGTTCCTTAAAAGTTGATTGATCGTTCTATCCTTAAAAGGAAAAAATATTTCAATTAAATAATTATTTCTTAATTCATTGAACTTAATTGTGGAGTATTATTCTATCTACCCATAGTTATTATAGGTGTAAAGTTGTTTAGTTGTCACCCTACTTATTTTATTTTTTTCTAACCTTGATTTCTTTCATCTCCTCAGATTAATATTGATCTCCGTAATTATCTTTATTATTTGTTTCTTTTATCTTCTACATTAATTATATTATTGTATAATTTAGTGTTAAGGATAATTATTCTAATTTCTAAGTTTCTTAGTTAAGCAATTAAAAATATGAGTTTCATATCTAAAATATCATCCAATTAGTTTCTAATGATGTGTGTATGCTCTTTTTTTATTTTAAAAATATGTCTCGAGAGGAAATAGTGCACCTTGACAAATCACTAGATTAAAGTTAAGATTCAAAGTAAAAACAATCATCGTATAAATTAATTTATTTCAAGTGACATTCATCATTCATATCTCTCATTTAAAAGGAGGAGAGTTTGGAGTTTTTAAAAAATCAATTTAAAATATGTTAAGAAAAAATAATGTATTAGCAAATAATAGTCACTATATAAGTTAAGTGAACGAAGATTTTATTGACAAACACGCCTAAAATAGATAAATAGTTGATTTAGTCAATGTCTAAATCTGTTTTGTAAAATTATAGTCATGAATTTTTGTCTTTTTTGTTTATTTTTTTTATCTTCTTTAATTCCCTAGCTAGTTTTGATATACTATGTTGATGATCAAATTTAATTTTCACTTATTTTCTTGCAAAGTCTATTATAGATGCATCAACATTTTTATAACTACACAATAAAATTCAATATAACCACAAAAAAATTATTTAGTTTGTTTTTTTGTTTAAAAAATTATTTTTATTTCGTTCACTATTTCTTTTTAATTCTCATATTTTCTACACTAAAGAATGAAAGCGAAAAATTCAACATGAACAACAAACTCAAATAATGATAAACAAATATATTCATAAGGGAGATAATTAAGACCAAAAATAACCGTTGAATTAAAAAGCTCAAAAATAAAATCACGTGAAAAAACTATTTGATTTTCCTCTATGTGAATATTATTTGGTTAAATTACTAAAATAAATAAATTAAAAATCTAAAGTATACCTTTTGTTAGTCAAAAGAGGATATATAAGTTATTTAATTTGCTCATTTAACAATAAATGCATATGTGACATTTTCTTTACGGAATATTTATTATCTCTATATCACAAAATTCAGGATTATATCAAATCCTTTTCTCCTAATAATAATTCAACATAATTTGCACCATATTATTATTATTATAAAGATCAAACAAACAATGTGGTATAGTAATGAAATGTAAAAAAATATTCTATATCTTATTTGATTATTCTATATATAACAATGTTCGTATTATATTAAAAAGAGAGTAGTCAACCTTGATATTAAGACAATTATATAATAAGAAATAACTTTCTTAATTCAAGACATCAACGAAAATTGCATTATTATTAATAGTTATTTAAAATATCTAAGTCCCAAGATTATATTATTATTTTTCTAAAAGAAAAACACGCACGATGTATAAATAGTTAATTAATTAGTGAATAATCGTATTAATCATTATCATTCAAATTGTAAATTTCAGAATCCATATTTATTTTACTTATATTGCATATTGCTGAGAATCCCTGAAAGTAACGTGTTAATTTTAATTATAGTCTTGTATCGACACTATATTACGTCAAATTTGATAATTTATAGATCATTACTCATATTTGTTATTAATATGAAAAAATATAACTTTATAAATTATTATGTTTAAATAAATTTACGCTGTTTATTTGAATATTTTAACATATAATCTAGAACTATATTAATAACGACAATCAAAACTCAAAACACTTTAGAGATGCAAATATCACAATATTATAAAAATCATATATTTCATTCGTGTCGATCCTATTTAACAACAATCATATTGAATATGTGATAGTTTTGCACCCTTATATTATATTGACTTGATAATATGTGAACAGTTACTTATTTATTATTATTATTAATATGAGTTCTAACTAAATAAGTTTATGAAGTTGCGTTCAAATAAATTTAAAATACATATTTAAATAATTTTGTAAGTATAATTTAAAAATGTTTCAATAAAAGTCAAGCAAAACTCAAAACACTTTATATATGATAAACATCAAAACATACAAAAATCATCAAATTTTTATTACTTATAAATATCGACCCTAATTAATTTTTTTAATCTATTTTTATTTTATTATTTAATAATTATATTTTAATATAATTAGTTAGAGATAAACTTAGTTGGAGGTGTAACTATATATTTCTTATAGTACATAAAGTGTAAATGTTTAAATTTGAAATATAGAGAGTGTATTTAAAATTGAGTAATATTACAAAAAAATAATTAATGTATTAATTATATATACATAGAGAATTTGACATTAAGAGTGTGTTTGGTACGAAGGAAAACATTTTCTGGAAAATATTTTTCAATTTTTCCATGTTTGGTTGGGACAAAAGTTTTGGAAAATGTTTTCCAAATCAACTCATTTTCCTCAAAATTAAGGAAAATGACTTCCCTTCAAAAATTAAGGAAAACATTTTCCATGACTCTTCTCCAATTTCAAATTACATTTTTTTTTGGAAAAAACATCAATTTAAAAAAATATTTTTAATTTCAAATTTTTATTTTTTCACCTGATCCTTGACCTTCCCCCCACCGGCCAGCCCCCACCCCAACCCCCACCCCCTCCCCAAAAAATTAATTATGCTTTTTAAAAATATTTTCAACTTTAAATTTTTATTTTTAAACTCCTACCTCCCCTCAACCGGCCAGTCCCCCTACCAGCCTCCACCCATCCCAACACTAAAAATCATTTCCGAAAAATATTTTCTACTCACCAACCAAACATGAAAAAATAAGTCCAAAATCTACTTGTTTTCCAGGAAAACATTTTTTAGGAAAACATTTTCCATGGAAAACATTTTCCTCCATACCAAACACACCCTAAAGCAAATCAATTATGCTTTTTTTTCCAGGAAATTATGATTTTCTTTGTGCTCTTAAAAAAATATTTTACATTAATGAAGTTCCAATAGATACATAAGATAAACTTTTATTGTTTCATTCATAGGATGAATTTAACCAATTTAATTGCTTAAATATAATAATCTATTTTCACCAAATTCTAATTTTTTTATGAGGAGTAAAAAAAATAGTTAAGAAGGAGACGTGAGATGACAAAAAA